TCCCCCTCCCCCTCACACGCCATATCCCTTGCACCTCATCACGAGTTCCGCCTCCTCCCCGCCCCCGGCCCCCGCCGATCCCCCGACCTCATGAGCAAGGATCTCTTCCTCCTGCCCCTCCTGCCCCCGCTACTCCCTCCAGCTTTCTCTCTTGCTGCCCCCTCCCCCTCTCATCTGCTCCCCATCACCTCCCTCCCGCCCCTCCTCACCTTGCCCTCCCTGCCTCCCCCAGCCCCTCTCCCCCGCTTCCTCTTGCTCCCCCTCAACATCCACTCCCCTGCTCCCTTCTCCTCTCTCTCCTGCTGCATGTAAGCTGTGCCTTTCTCGCATGCCTTCTCTCCTCCCCCTCCTGCGTCCAGTAGCATGGCGATCGAGTCTCAGGCGCCTGCCATGGGCCGCCGCCTCCCGCCGCCATCATTCAAGGTTCCAAGAGCTGCGCAGCTCCAACGACCTCCTGGAGCGAGGGGACGAAGAGCAGCTACAACGCCGCATGCAGGAGGACGGCTACCTCCTCCTCCGCAGCATCCTTGACCGCAGGCTCGTCCTCGACCTCCGCCGGGAGATCGTGCGAGAGCTCCGGCATCTCGAGCTGGTCGACCAGGAGCAGGTGAGGACTCGACTTCTGCTCTAGAGCATGACGACCAAGAGCAGCCGGACATGCAGCACGGGACGATGATCTCCCAGCTGCCTCCCAGCACACAGCTGACTGATCCTCACGACTGGAAGATCTTCGATAGGGTACAGAAGCTCGAGAGTTTCCACTCGTTGCCGCACTCCCCTCGCCTCTTCTCCCTCCTCTCCCTCCTCTTCCGCGACCGCGTCCTTATGCACCCCAGACACATCTGCCGCGTCCACTTCCCCCGTCAGGACCAGCATCGAACTCTCCCCCACCAGGACTTCCCCTACGTGCAGGGGTCGCAGAGGACCGTCACCTGCTGGTGCCCTGCTGGGGATGTTACGAGGGAGCACGGGCCCCTTGCCGTCCTCGTGGGCTCGAATAAGTTTGGGATGAAGGTTCGAAGTTTCAACTATCCTCTCCTCTCCTCTCCTCTCCTCGCCCCGACTCCTCTCCTATCCTCTCCTCTCCTCTCCTCTCCTCTCCTCTCCTCTCCTCTCCTCTCCTCTCCTCTCCTCTCCTCTCCTCTCCTCTCCTCTCCTCTCCTCTCTTCCTCCTCACATCTCCTCTCCTCTCCTCTCTTCCTCCCCCCACCTCTCCTTCTCTCACTTTCCTTCCTCTCAGCTGGCCAAGAATGCCAACATTATGCGAGTACACCTCGCTGGAATGCCGTCAGGTCGACTTGACCTCTTTCCCTTGTCTTTCAGCCCTGTCCAGCTTGCGATCGCCAACTCTGAATCGCACCTGCTTCTCCTCCCTCCCTCCCTCCCGTCCCGTCCCTTCCTCTTTCCCCCACTCTCGCCTCTCTCGCTCTCCTTTCCCCTTCTCTCCCCGTTCTCTTCTGCCATCTTACATGCTTGCTCGCAGGCGAATCATTTCTTCGGGGTCTGGTGATTTCCTTTGCTTCCTCGTCTCT